GCCCAGAGCGCAGCGGCGTCATTAGGACCATCACTCAAATCTTCACTACCATGCGTTGGCCAAGACCATACCCCAACAAAGCACACATCTTAAAATTTCGAATCGTTCAATTTTACAACCTTCGGTTTGCAATTCGGGCCCCGGCGCCCACTCGGGGCGGCGGGGCCCTTCAATCCCCTGGTACAACCAAACCCGACAAGGAAAATCGCAGGAAAATACAAAAAAACAGGCCTCGTCAGCCCCCACTACAACCAAAACGACGATTTCGACAATATCCGGCGACGAGCTCGCCCGCCCTACGTGGCTTCCACTGCTTCAATCGGAATCGAAGCAGACGTGCCGTGTGTGCCGGTTGAAGACGTCTCGCGAACATCACACGGTATACAAGGAAATGTGGACAATTAAACTTGCTAGGAACCAGGGGTCACCTTGGCCCCCAACTTATCCCCCCCCCACCGGATGCTGTTCGGTCGTCCCTTAGCTCCGCACCTACTCAATAATTTGCGTCGGACACCTGATTCTCCTCGATCTCTCAAGCTCGCTGTACCACCTTTTCTGCGTCCCCTGCCCGCCCTGCCTGAATCATACACCGAGCAATATCGCGCAGCGCCGTCGCGACCTGTGAATCGTCAGCCCCTCACCTCTTCTCAGCATCCTCGAGTACTCGCCTGAAGTAACCTTCCGCCTCCTCTGGACGCCTTGCCTCCAGGAGACACCAACCCATTATTGTAGCATAGCAAAGCAAGAGTTCTGCGGTCGCCCCCGCGGCCTCCCCGATATCTATAGCTTGTTTAAGTAGCTCTTCTGACTTCTCTACCCACCCAGCTTTCAACGCACGCTGCCATGAAGTATAGCGCCGATGAGTAATATACTTGTTGGCCGGTCATGCCCACTATCTTGAGATAGTCTTCGCGGCGTCCCTGGCCAACTAGACTTGTTTTAAGATAGTCAAGTATTTTCCCGTAGACATTTCGCATTCTCGTATTTTCCCAAACGTCCTCCCCCGGCCGAATGTTTTTCACAGGAACTACAGTAGTCTCCAAAACAGGTGTTCCCCGTTGACAACGGACTCTTTCATCACTCTCAGCATGAGCTTCTAGGTTCGGGAAATCCCAACTGTCTTCGTATAGATCTGCGACAAAACTCAAAGCTCCAATTCTCACTTGACCCGAAGAACACATTCGGACCAATTCGTCATCGTACGACCGAGAGACCGAATAGGCTTTGCCACCCACCCGCTCTAGCGCGCACCACACATCCGAGACGACGCCTGTAGACCTAGTATCTGCTCGCACCTTTTTGCGCTCTTCCGTCCTTCTTACAACCGTGCCTTCTCCGCGACCTTGGTACCGCTGACACGCACTTGATGACAGAAACGCGCTGTGTTTGTTCTCAACGTCCCCGCCGTATTCACGCATCGTCGTGACTTGGGATGCGCCCACAACAACACCGCGGACCACGCAGGAGCTCGTTGATGCGTTCGACCAGGCGTGGGAAGCGTCCCAGGCTAAATGTCCCCCAGTATTTTCGTTGAGAGGAGAAAACGATGATGGTGAAACTACACCGCAGAACTTCCCTTGCCTAGTCGTCTTCGGCGTTTGGGGTTATTTCGACAAGGCATGGAGCGTAGAGAGGGGGAGAGGGGACAGGAGGACGGAATACCTTTCTCTGTTTTCCATACACTTTCAAATTGTGTTGGCTTTGTGGTGCCCATTTACGGCCACTTTAAGTGACAGAATGTGCCCTCTCGGTGGCGAGCATAGTTTGCACTGGAGACGAGTGGTAAGGGCGCAATATCGGGGCGATCGGGTCGCTATCTTTGCGCCCAACCTTGCCCAAAATTTCCTCCTTGGCGTTGTTTCGAAGTGGTTGTGAGATAAGGTATGGGGGCACCAGAGTATGGCGGGGTGAGCAGGGGACACCATTACGATCGCTGCGCACCAGTCGCGCATAGATATTTAGCCCCCAACGACGATGGCAGTCCAGCGGCGTATCTGGGCGAGTCATTGAAAGAGAAGGTCGATGACCGTCGGGTGTTTGGAAGTATATTCCGAAGTAGACCCGTCGTCAGGCAGCGGATTCGGCGATTTGTGTGATACCTAACTCAGACGGCTTTGGTACAGAATCAAAACATGGACGTACAGAGGAGGACCGCAGTTGCATCCGGATTGACGTACCTCGAGTATGGAGAATGTCGATGGTTGTGACCATTGGGGTGTATAATAATTTCAAGTCGATGGGACTAATCTACATACTTCTAGTAGATACGTTCTGTCCCGATGCATGATGCATAGACTACATGCAGATTGAGCGATTTCGTAGTGCAGAACCTTGCCGATTTCGGTACACTGGCAGAGTATGTAGAAATGCGGTGTATGTGGTTTCGCATCATACAACTTGAAGAATCAACTTTAAGGTAAGTACATTTGTACTCGGGGAAGAGGAAGGGCCCCCGCGCCTTACTTGTGCGCGGGGGCCCGAATGGGAAGAGGAGAGCTGGGCAGAGAGGAAAAAGGAAAGGCTGAAGGACGAATGAGTCGACTTGCTGTTGAAAGCGGGCGGTTCGTAGAAAATTCGAACATATTCCAGCGCGAAGTAGAGGCATGGGTTCGTGTGAATGGCGTGGTGGTAAAACTGCTCGATTCGCAGTAAATGTTGGCATGGAAGATTCGCTCACGAAAAAGAAGGGGCAGAAACATATATGAGGTACCGTTACCATGGAGTAAATAAATGTGTGCGTCGTTTAGGTGGCACGCACTAGTAGGTGACGGGCTGTGTTTAGGGAAGCAGGGGTGTAAGGAATATCGAAGGGTTGGTTGTTGATGTGTTGTTCGCGTGGTGCCGATGCAAACGCGAGGGGCGGAAAGGGAAAAAAATGAGTCGAGTCTTGACGAAGAAGACACAGGAAATACGTATGAGAAGCCGATGCATCATGTTGCGAGAATGGATGTGGAACACAAAGCACGCTTGAATGTGAAAAAGTGAGATTGATGGCCCCGCTTAAGAAAGAATGAAACGGAAGTGAATGGCCGAGCGAAAATGGACCGCAGTGCCCGCAAAGGCAAATAATCCTGGTGGCAAGACCGGACAACTGCAGCGGGTTGTACAGCAATGCCATGGTTTTGCTGTGGTAAGCCGTGCGTGCGTTGTCGGGTGTGTATCGACGGAGGTACACGTGGCGTCGCAGGATGCTTTCCCCTAGAAGTCATGAGAGTGTCGCCTGCATGTATGGCAGCGATGTGAACACAAGAATGCGCAAGATTATTACACACCTTGTTCTCAACTCTCAAGCCAACACACAGTTGGTTTTGCGGACTAACCTCTGCAGTTCACCCTCTGCACAGTCACATCTCAGTGACACACCCGTGCACACAACTCTTGGTTAGACTGCTGTTTAGCGCCAACAGTCTATCTCGTTCCAGTGTAAGAGAGACTGACTGCGGACAACATTTCTGCGAAAGTTTCAAGGGACTTGTGCTCGACTACCACCACCGGTCTTGACAAACCCTAAACCTGTGACACCATCTCGAAATCTAAGATGGGGGTCTTGGAAGTCGTTCTGGGTTCCATCGCAAGGGAAAGAATGCCCGGATTCTGGGATCGAGAATAATAATAACGCGATGTTCGCCGCTCGCAGTTCTTGATATTTCGAGCGGTCTATATTCCTCAGTTGCAGAGAAAAAAATTAAAGAACGGTATATATATAAAGTTTGAGACCGCTTTTGTTGGGCACCAACAACTACCCCGACGGGTAAATTGTGTTGCCAGTTGTGGCGATGTTGGTCTCTGCCAACAGATTGGGGGCGGGGGGCTGAAGGACAGCCCCCTTCCTCGAAACATTTTGTACACTTGGTGTGACGGGGCGATGCCACCAGGATGTGTTTTGTCGCAGCCTTTATTTACTTGTCAACTTACCACAAATCATGGCTCCATCTCGGCTCAACACAGAAACTTTTGACTGGAAAGACTCTCCGTGATTGAATTGACAGCCCACACCGCGGTGGTTCGTTCAAAAATGATAGCGCGCCGTGATTGGTCGTTGAAATTGCTGCGCCGGGAGAGCCACGTACATGCTCGAAAGAGCGTCGTTGGCAGATTCTGGAGATAGACGCCACGTTTTTGTTCTTGTGTTTGTTCTTTGCACACCTTTCCCCCAACTTTTCATCCATCTGCTATGTTACACAACACTCACGAATCTTCGCCAGTTGAACGAGCAGAGGCTTGAACGGTTTTCTGTGTGAAGACACCAACAACAATTTGTGGATACGTATCCAACATATATATATCCAGCTTGTGCTGAACATGAAGCAATACAATTCACATCCCATATAAAGTTCTGTGCTGCTTCATCACGTCTGCTATGTGTTGCACATGATAAATGATTACTATCAATCCCTATTAGAGTTATTATTTCGTTTGCCATCCATATCATATTTCAC